CTGTGAAAGGCGCACCACGGCATTAAACTACTTCTGGCAGCTCTGATTTTTCATCATCACATCGCGTGCAGTTGGATTTGCTGAAACAAAGGGTGTGTGCCTCTTAAATGTTGATGGCTGTCTGTAAATTGCCCTCCCCTCAAAAAAGGTGATTCCAATTTACATTCCCACCATAAGAACAATCGTCTTCTTATGATCGTTGTCCATCCAGTAGATTACAACAGGCTCGTTTCAGGGAGGTCTCGATACTACGGATGAGCTCACTCACTTATACATGTAAGGGCCACTGAGGTTTCCTTCGCTGTGACATGGGTCCTTGTCCAGAGCCCCCGTCCATCCTCCTTCCCTCCACCACCACGGTCAGCCCAGGTGCGTCGGCCCCGCCCCATCACCACCTGCCTTCCTGCTTCCAGAAATCATGGGGCACATCCTGAAAGTGAATTGGACTGACTGTGCTGTGATAGATTTGGGCTCCCCCCCAAGACAGCTGACAGCAAGTTGACATCTTTCGGCACCAGGTTTCTAGCCAAAAGGTCTGGAGATGTCACGGGAGCCAGCTGGGAGAGGGAGGGCAGGGGGAGAGGTGCCGAGCACCTGCAGGGCACGCAGGCCCCGCTGTGAGACTGCTCCCCCCAGAGTGTTGCCCCCCCGCCCCCAGCTCGGGGCTGGTTCCCAGGCTGCACGTCCGGGGTGGGGGGCCCCATGGCTGTGCCCTGCGGCTGAGCGCTGGGCCACCCGCCGCTCAGGGAGCTGAGTTGCGGAACCACCAGGGGCATGTTAAGGTCTGTGGGCTGCCGGGCCGCTCTGCAGAGCCCAGACTTGGGGCCACTTCCCACGGGACCCAGGCCCGGAGGGCAGCGAGTCTCCCGCAGCCCGCCTGGTCACAGATGCCACGGAACCCTGCTTTTGGGTGGACCTGGAAAAAGTGTTTCTTGCTCCCGCGATCAGGATAAAAAGACCAGCAAACTGCAGCGCCAAGAGCGAACCAAATCTAAACTGCAGGTTCAGACTTTGGTTAATAGCATTGATATTGAGTCCTTGATTGTCACAAGTGTCCCACAGCTGTGCAAGATGTTACTATCAGGGGAACTGGGGTGCAAGGGGGGGAAGGTACCTGGGAACTCTCTGTACTTTCTTTTTTTTTTTTTAAAGATTTTATTTGACAGAGGGAGACACAGCGAGAGAGGGAACACAAGCAGGGGGAGTGGGAGAGGGAGAGGCAGGCTTCCCGCAAAGCAGGGAGCCCGATGAGGGGCTCGATCCCAGGACCCCGGGATCATGACCCGAGCTGAAGGCAGACGCTTAACTACTGAGCCACTCAGGCGCCCCCTCTCTGTACTTTCTGTGCAACTGTTAAAGTCTTCATTTATGTATTTTATTTATTAATTAATTTATTAATTAATTAATTTATTTATTTACTCTATTTGCTCTACCACGAACGAAGGCGCCCTGGGCGCTAGGGAAGCCACCACCCTTCTGTGAGCCTCGCTTTTCTCACCAGTAAAATGGGAGCACTAAGCTCCTTTGGGTCCTGATATTCTGCAAGATACTCACCACCTCAAGGCAGCCCAATGCTGTTCTTTCCCATGATAGTAGGCCCTATATCATGATGCACCTGGCAGGTGCCTGTTACCTCCTTTCTGTGCCCAGACAAATGGACTTTGGAGCCCAAAGGACACAGATTCCAGCGCCCAGTGTGAAGATTCCAAGGGCTGGGACCTTGGCAGTCACAAGTTGGGTGACATCAGGCGGCCGACGTTTCTCGGAGATCAACCATGTGTCAGGCACAATTCTAGGCTCTGGAGGTGTTGTAATTCACTTTCTCCTCTCGATAGCTCTGTGAGGACAGTATCAGGGCAAAACGAACTCTGGGTCTTGCATGAACACGGGGCCCCCAGCAGCCCATCCTTCCAATGGCCCTTGTGCCCGCTGGTTCCGCTGGACTAGGCCACTTCAAAGAAGAACAGCAAGGCCCTCTGATGATATCAGGCACTCGCCGGCTGCACCCTGGAGGCTCCCAGGCTGATTTCCTGTAGCGGGGGTGGCTGTGGGCCCACAGGACTGGGTGTCCCAGCCCCCTGAAATTGCCCTATAAGTAGGGGAAGCCCCGTGAGCCAGTGTGGGACACGTGCCGTGCGCGTCCAGCCTGTCCAGCCTGTCTGGGAAATCTGTGCATTCTGCAGAGTGAGTCACTTTCCATCAGCCTCCTCCTGAGCTGACACTGGTCTGCGAGGCGGATCCCCTGTGCCAGGATTATAATCTGCACTTAACAGAGGAGAAAACCCAGGCCCAGACAGCTTGGGCTCCGATTTGCCAGGTCAGGATTGGCAGGCAGGCTGTTCTGCTCAGTGCCACCAGTGGGGAGGATGGAATCACGCCATTCAAATGCTCCCAGCACATAGGAGGCCCACTATCATGATGCGTGCTGGTGACTGGGGCAGCTGGGGGGTTGCTTTCCCCTTCCCTCACCCACCCCAGGCTTAGAAAAGATCCTGTGGCCTTGGTGGTCGTCCCCTGTGTCTCTCCCACCTGCAGGTGGCAGGGACAAGTCCCCTTGAAGGGCCCCTTCCATGTTCCCAACATGCTTCTCCAACATGCCTCAGGATCCTTCTCTCTTACCTGGTTCCTTTTCAACTCCAGCCAGAGCCAGAGTCCTTGCCCTTGCCCTGTAGCTTCCATGCCCCTCACTTAACTATCTTACTGGAGAAAGCACATGCCCTTTTAGCTTTCCCCCAGAGTAGCCTGCTCCGCAGGTTGTTCCAAAGGATGGCACATGGACCCTCCCCCTGACTCCCTGGCCCCCCGCACTCCTTCTCAGTGGACCCCGGCCTTGGTCTTGTCGTTGGAACTCCTCCTCTGAAAGGTTGAGGTGTATTCATTAACTCCCCAGATAACCTTGCTATCTGGTCTGTCACCTCCTCCCCTTTCTTATCTGGGTTCATGGCCCCATCTCCCACTCGTTGGCCCCTTACTGGTTGTAAAAGCTTTCGTTTGCGAAACCCACACCCCTCCTCCCCCAAAGAGTTGATCTCTCCGGTCCCTTCTGGCTGGGAGTTTTGACAGCTAACCTGGCTTCACTCACATCTCCAACAATCTCATTTTAAAGAGGAAGCTCAGAGAGATGAAACATTTGTGTCCTGGGTCCACAGCTAGCGAGGAATCGAAGCAGGTTAGAACCCAGGTCTATCTGAAGCTCAAAAGTGTGCTTTTAACCGGCTCCTCCCCTCCACGTCACCCCTCTGCCACCGCAGGGACCAGCGTCTCCGAGGCCCCTGCCATCCGAGCGCAGGGCGGGGACTCGGATGCTGTCTGGGGAGCAGGTGAGCTGACTGTGGGGCCCACAGACAATGTGGGGGCTGGCACTGGGACTCATCGTGGGGCCAGCTCAAGAAAGGCTTCTAGGGGCTGCAGCTGGGCATGAGTGTTTAGTGGGAACAACTCTGACAGAGGAAATTGTCATTAAGCTCCCAGTGGCAGAAGGACCATAGGGGCATCTGCATTCCCAAGGTGACAGGTGAGGAGATTTGCTGTGGTCTCCTGAAGGCCTGTCACACCATGTCACGGCAGAATCCTGGCACCCCCCCCAAGAAAGGGCCCCCACGCAAGAAGCATGAACACCCCCGTCTAACTGGGTCCAGTGAATGCCGTGGCCCCAGTGAGCCAAGCCGGGACTCAGTGGACCCAGACCTGCTCTGAAATGAGAAAAGTCTGTCCAACTTGGGAAAATGAGGCCTTCCAAGTGGGCCATGTGTTCTGAACCCCTCCTCCCCCTGCACAAGGGCACTTTGACCCCAGGGGACACTGGGCAATGTCTGAAGAATTTTTGATTGTCTTACGTAGGAGTCACAAGATTGCTATTGGCATCGAGTTTTGTCTGGGATGCGTCTGAACATCCTACAATGCACAGGACAGCCCCTCCCAGCATGGAATCTTCCAGCCCAGAATGTCAATGGTACTGAGCTTGAGAGCCCTGACTCCCGGTGTGCTCAGCCCTCAGAAGCAGCCACGTTCCCGCTTCAGGGAGGGAAGTATCGGGTGAGCATTTCCGAGTACAGAGCACCGGACCAGAAGCTTGCAGACCTGTCTCGGGCCAGTGGTGCTTGACCAGCCGTGTGGCCTTGAGAAAGTTCCGGAACGGCTCTCCAAGCCTCGAGTCGTTGAAACAAAAGTTAATGCCTCTGTGTGCCCTGAGCTTAAGGGCCCGCAGTGCTTTTGTCAGCCTCGTCCCCCAGACCCAGAACACTGTAGGGTCAGATCATAATCCACTCCGGGCTCAGATGCCCCTACTCTGAGGTCTGTAGCAGCTGCAAGGAAACGGAGGATGAAGTGTACGGAGTCAGGCAGAGTCTGGGCCACAGTCAGCCAGGATGGGTTTCTGGCTGTGTGTCACTGGGCAGAATCTTGCCCTCTCTGGGCAGCAGCTTCATGTCCATTAAATAAAAGGAGCTAGTGGAAATGTTCCCATTCCACATCCAGTCGTAGCTGAGCCTGATCTGGCCCGATTCCTGGGTAGTCGTGCACCCATACATTATGCTTCCTGTGCCTCAGTTGCCCCTTATGGGAGACAGGGGCTGACACCTGCGCCCAGGGCCACTGCAGGGGGTAGGGCAGCCGTCAAGAGCAGGGACTCCCACCCAGACGGCCCGGGTCTGTGATTCTGCTCCTGCTACTTTCCTGCTCTGTGGCCTTGGGCAGGTGGCTTCAACCCCTCTGGCCTTCGGTCTCCTCCTCTGTGAATGGGCAATGGCCCTGTGCCCTAGGTCACGGGTCATCAAAGAGGACAATGAGCTGAGACAGCCAAGTGCCTAGAATGGGGCTCGGCATGTGGTGAGCCCTGTAAAGTCTTTGCTACTGTCCTGTCCTTGCGTGATGAGGACGTAGGAGAGTGCTTGGCCCAGCGCCGGGTAAACTCTGGATGCTCCACCTGGGGTCAGTCAGTGGCCAGGGGACTCACCGTGTGGCCTGACTCGGGCGTGGTGCCCCTCCTCTCTCTCTTGCAGGACAATGCCATCCTCCATCACCTGGGGCCTCCTCCTGCTGGCAGGTCTGTGCTGCCTGGCCCCCCGCTCCCTGGCACAGGGTCTCCAGGGAGACGCTGTCCAGGACACAGATGCATCCCAGCACGATCACAAGCACCACCAGGAGCCAGCCTGCCACAAGATCACCCTGAACCTAGCTGACTTCGCCTTCAGCATGTACCGCCAGGTGGCTCATGAGTCCAACACCACCAACATCTTCTTCTCCCCCGTGGGCATCACTACAGCCTTTGCGATGCTCTCTCTGGGGGCCAAGGGTGACACTCACGGCCAGATCATGGAGGGCCTCGGTTTCAACCTCACTGAGAGAGCAGAGGATGAGGTCCACCAAGCCTTCCAGGAACTCCTCCGCACCCTCAACCACCCAGACAACCAGCTGCAGCTGACCACTGGCAATGGTCTCTTCATTTCTGAGGGCATGAAGCTACTGAATAAGTTTTTGGAGGATGTCAAGAACCTGTACCACTCAGAAGCCTTCTCTATCAACTTCGGGGACACTGAAGCGGCCAAGAAACAGATCAATGATTATGTAGAGAAGGGAACCCAAGGGAAAATTGTGAATTTGGTCCAAGATCTTGACAAAGACACAGTTTTTGCTCTGGTGAATTACATTTTCTTTAAAGGTAAGGTTGCAACACCAGCCTGAGCTGTTTCCCACAAACACATCCAAAAATATTCTCAAACACGCAGTTGTTAAACTTTCCATAGCGGTGCAGAATAAGTGGGCAGTGAGTCTCCACATGTGTTATTTGGTTTCCCACACACAACCACTGTCATACTTCCTGCGACCAACTAAGGTCAGGCAATGATGGGTGGGACAGTCATCTTCTCTGCAGGACTTTTCAGAGCCTTTAATGTCCTAGTGTGCCTTGTCGATCCCTACCAGGGAGGGAGGTAAAATAGACAGTTTTAGCAGAGTGTATGAAGGGACTGGGGTTTCTTGGAACACAATTTCTGGTAACTCCAGTGCAGTGGAAGCAGGGACACCTTTGGAGTCAGAAGCACCAGGGTTGGAATCCTTCCCTTACCGATTATTAGCTGTTTGACTGTGGGCAGGTCATCGTTCCACTTTGAGGTTTCCCCTCTGTAACGGGAACATAGTAATACCCTTGTTGTCAGGTTTCTGTGAGGACTGAACAAGTTA